ACTCTGAGTACCACAAGGACAGCAAACTCCACCAATACCTTGCACAGAGTCAGTTTATTAAAGATGCTCAGAATATACATATTTACTTGTGAAATAAATGAATACATGAGTTAAAGTATTCTATAGTATATGTGAATGTTACATTTTTGTGATGGTGGTGGTGGTGAATATACTGAATATCTAACTACATGAAGGCTTCCCTATTGGTAGATTTTTAAAAATAAATTTTGCCCTGGCTGGCGTAGCTCAGTGGATTGAGCGCGGGCTGGGAACCAAAGTGTCCCAGGTTCGATTCCCAGCCAGGGTACATGCTTGGGTTGCAGGCCATAACCCCCAGCAACTGCACATTGATGTTTCTCTCTCTCTCTATTTCCCTCCCTTCCCTCTCTAAAAATAAATAAATAAATAAAAGATTTTATTTATTTAAAAAAAAATAAAAAATAAATAAATTTTTATTTTAGAATAGTTGTCCATGTATAAAAATTTTTCAAAGATAGAACAGAGTTCCCATGTATTCCATACCCAGTTTCCCCTAATATTAACATCTTATGTTAGTATTGAACATTCATCATAATTAATGAAACAATTCTGATACATTGTTATTAACCAAGATCTATACTTTATTAGGATTATTTAGGAGTTACCTAATATCTTTTTCTGTTTCAGGATTCCATTCACTATACCACAGTAGATTTGATTATCATGTCCCTTAGACTCCTCTGGGCTGGATCAGTTTTCAGACTTTCCTTGTGTGATGCCCTTGACAGTTTTGAGGAGTACTGCTCAGATGTCTTATAGGATGCCTATGTATGTATGTATGCATGCATGCATGCATGCATGTATATTAGTATGGACTCATCTATATTTATTTTTTTACTTTGGGTTATAATCTAATCCAACCTTATTTACTCTGTGGTTCAAATTGTTCCACTTTTGATCATTGGGAACTATTGTGGTTGGCACCTCTGGTTTTTTTCATTGAAGAATATTTCTTCTGTTCTCCTTACTCTTTCTGCTTCTGTTATTCTAATTACATGCATTTTGCCCCTTTGATATTGTCCCAGAGTTGTTGATTTTTTCATTCTTTTTTTGTCTTCACATTTCAGTTTTGAAAGTTTCTATCTTCAAGCTCACTGATTCTTTTCTCATCTGTGTTGAGTCTACAGAGTCTGTTACAGGCTTTTTCATTTTTATTACAGTTTTTTATTTCTAGCATTTTCTTTTATTTTTTTCCTTAAGGTTTCCTTATGTCTGCTTGCATTACCCACCTGTTCTTGCCTTTTGGAATACCTAGTAATTTTTTATTGAAAGTCAGACATGTTTTATTGGGTGATAGGTATTGAGGTAGATGGGCCATTAATGTAAGAATTTACATTAATCTGCTAACAATAATGTGTAATGGTTTTTGTAGCCTATATGTGCCAAAGGCTTCAAATTTCCCTAGTATCTTTGTTCATCAACATGTTTTAAGTATTCCTACCGGGTTATGGGTCCAGCACTTCTCCTGGTAACCAAAACTCATTTGTGTTCTCTGAATGCACTTGTCTGCAGTTTTTGGGGGAAGCAGTTTCCCCTGTGAGCTTCGTTCTCACATGGGTCCAAGAAAAGTCATTGATTTTTCCATTTATCTAGTTTGTTTCTCATTGTAAGGACAAGAATGACCAGGGTCTTTAAATGTCAAATGTAAAACCCGTGTTACTTTTATGTATAAAATACAACCTTTCTTGTTTCCCTCTGTCATTGTCTTGACCTTTTCCTAATTTCTTTTTGTACATTTCATTGTTGCTCAGACTTCTAGGAAACTATCTAGAAAAAGTTTAAATGAATCTTTTGTAAGAGAATATTTTCCCTCAAATGTCAGTGTGATTATCTAAGTTAAACATTAGTATTCCAATGTGAGCTGTTCTAGACATGGTTTGATGAAATTAACTGATGGTGAGAACCACCAATGAAGAATTTAATCAAGATTAATACCTTCATTTTAAAAGGTTGATAAAGTGAGTGATCACATTAATGGTTTCATTCATTAAATTTTTTGGTGCTAAGAATTGATGTCCTTGTCTTATCTAGGTAGAGAATTTTTATTTCTTGGAAGAAACAAGATTATTTATAAATTGAACTTATATTAGTAATTTTTCTCAATTTACAAAAGGCACAGTTTTTGCCTCAAGCCCTTGTCGAGTAGCTCATGGTATATTGGACTGTTCCTAAATCAGTCAGTTCATCAGGGGTGGGGGAAAGATTAATTATCAAAGAGACTTCTTCCCATTAAAAAACAGATTTATCAGTTGAAAACTTGCAAACATTGTTTAAACAGTGTTTGGTACAAATAAAATGCCTTATAAAATATTATCTGTAATATAATTATTTTTGTTAAAATATGTAGTGTTACACATATTTTTAAAGCTAGATATAACAAAAATATGGAGCAATTACATGTGATTTTTTTTTATTATTTATACAATATTTTCTGACCTGTATACAGGGAGAGGCAAAAGTAGGTTTACAGTTGTTTGTATGAAAATAATACAATAATTAATAAATAATAATGTAAGAATAAACTCTGTGTTTGTTCACACTCACAACTATAAACCTACTTTTGTCCTAACTTGTATAATGAATAAGTAATTCTTGTGAACAGAATACTGTAGAAGTTAAAACAAAAAGAACAGCCCTGGCTGGGTAGCTCAGTTGGTTAGAGAATCATCCACATATACCACACTTGTGGGTTCATTCCTCAATCAGGGCACATACAAGAGTCAACTAATGAGTGCATAAATAAGTGGAACAACAAATTGTTTCTCTCTCTCCCTCCCTTCCTCACACTCTAAAAATCAATAAGAAAAAAAAACACTAATTCATAAGTTATAGGACTTGAATAGAATTTAGGGTTTATTTGTTAAGCCCATTTTTAACTGCTTGAGATAATGGAGGCACACACAGAACAACCAATCTTCTTGAATCCTCTCCCTTTTCATTTCGGCCTATCAAAATAATAACCATTCTTAAACATCCAGCTCAAATATACATGGCTTCAACATTTCTGTTATAGCACGTCTCATATTTCTCACCAACTGGGAAGTTCTCCCAGTATAATGTTAATAATAAAGAGGAGAAAGAAGGGGGGCAGGGATGATAGTTTCTGCTTACCATTTGTCAAGCGCTTAGTTGTATATCTTAGGTTATTTTAATTAATCCTCACAATTCTTTCATGACATAAATATTATTCCCATTTTGCAAATGAAGTAAAGGAAAATAAAACAGGTTAAGAAATTTCAAACTTTCCCTTGTCACAACCAAAAGAACTCAGGTTTTTCCAGTTTCCTGTTTCTCTAAAACTTGACATATAGGAGTTACTCAGTAAACATAGTTAATAATTCAGCGATTTAGAGAGTGGTTGGTATTTTCAGTGTTTATCTGTGACCTGCTAATATCTCAGTTCATTCACAATTAAAACTCAACTTTGACCAGAGTTAGTATTTGAAGTCTAGATTCCCTAAGCAAACAGAATTATTTTCCATCACAGAAAATGATCGTCACTCCTGCTGTCTGGCTTCCTCGTTCTCCTCTTTATTGTCCTTCAAAATGTTCAACGTGTCTTTTTAAAAAATTGTTTGTTTGAAACATTATCACCTTTTTTAAAGACTCCACCTTCTTGACCATGCACTAACCTTTTACCTCCTAGTTTAAATTTTAAACTAAGTAAAAATAGCTTACTTATTTTTCAGTTTCATGAAAACTATTGCATTAAACAATCTCCTTGAAAACAGATAGAACAACTATTACTTTCCTTTTAAGGATGAAAAGGTTAAGTCTCTAAGAGTTTCAGTGATTGCTTACACTCATACAGCTCTTAATCCACAGAGCTAGGCCTCAGGGGGATGCTCCGACTGCAGCTCTAGTGTTCTTCCTCCATGTTATACAACTTGACATACAAAGTCATTCTCTCTGTCACACGATTAATGGCCCTCTATAAATTCTGCTATAGCTTCAGTTTCTACTTCATTCTTACTGGACCTTTTTGAGCACTTAGTATTTTGTCTATTGTTCCAGTCAGAGGTTTTAATTGAATGCAACAGAAAATAATACTGGCTGATTTAAACAGGAAAATAATTTGCTGATAGGATATTGGATAGGTCAGGAAGTCATGGAGAAGCAGGTTCAGAAATAGGTGGGAACAAGGGAAGAGGACATCAGCCAAGTCACCTGCCAAAATGGTGCTATAGAACACAGGATAATCTTGGACAGTAAATACTTTTCCTGGTACCTCTGGTCTTGCTGCCCCTAAAAACTGAATGTTGTTATAGCAACTGCCATTGCTCACTACTAGACTGGTTTTCAATTGTCCCCTTTTTTTGTGTCACTATGTCCTCTTTCAAAGTCTTGGATGGGTATGTCTGATTAGCGGAGTATGAATCATATGGTCATACTCTAGCTTCAGAACTTGGGAAACCAAGTGAGTATTTTTACCTTCCCATGGGAGATAAGCTCTTCGTCCCTCCAAGATTCAGTATGTATACACTTCACCAAACGTAACAAGAAGGCTGAAATAATTAAAGTCCCCACCATGACCAAAAACATGACCAAATTCCATTAGTAATTCCAATGTAGTTTTGTACATTTTTTCTTTGGGCTAACTTTCTTTGACACAAGAAATGTATTTAATTTATAATTATGACTCAATTGTCACTTATCCAATAATAACCCTTGTGCTGCAGCATTCTGAAGGATCTAAACTTGCCATGTAAGTTTCATTTATCACTTAAAAAATCCTGTTTTGAAGCTATCCTCTAATATTTCTTTCAAATGAATGAGTTTTATCAGGGCCTGACAGCATGAACTGGTGCTTTACAAAATATTTTTGAAGAATGAAAAACATATCTGGCATCTTTCCATATCTTAGGAATTTAAGATATGTCTTGTTATTTTACTGTAAGAAATCAACATATTTCTTTTATAAACAATGTGTTTCTGAATCTGAATAATCCTTTCCTCTGCAGTATTTTTGAACAATGGCTCCGAAGGCACCGTCCTCTTCAAGAAGTTTATCCTGAAGCCAATGCACCCATTGGACATAACCGGGAATCCTACATGGTTCCTTTTATACCTCCCTATAGAAATGGTGATTTCTTTATTTCATCGAGAGACCTGGGCTATGACTATAGCTACCTACAAGATTCAGGTAAAGTTCAATTTTTTTTCATACAAATTGCTGAATAAAGTATGACCAATTTCTTTAGAGAGAATACAAAACGTTATGTTTTGCCTTGGCAGGGTAGCTAAGCTGGTTTGAGCATTGATCCGTACACCAAAATGTGGGTTTGATCCCTGGTCAGGGCACATACCTGGGTTGCAGTACATATGGGAGGTAACCAATCAATGTCTCTCTCTCACATTCTCTTTCTCTCTCTCTCTCCCCCCACCGCCTCCCTCCCCCTTCCTCTCTAAAATCAATCAACATATCCTCAGGTGAGGATTTTTTTTAAAAACATGTTTTTACAATGTTATCACCAAATTCTTTAAATCAGGAAAGTGCATCAGAGTCTTTATCACCAATATATTATTACATGAACCAAGTTGCAAGGATCTTTAAATTTATACCCATGCTGCTTAATATATATTTTGTACATGAAAGCCATGGAATAAGACTAGAATTAAAATCAGGAAAAAAATGAGTTTGAGATATGACTATCTCAATGAGATATGATTGTTTTGTGATGTTGGGAAATTTTACTTCAATTCCTTGAATCTCAGTTTCTTAACCTGAAATATTGGGATCAGAATATCTCAAAGAGATACTATGGTAATTAAATGAACGTGATATATTCAAGAGCCTAGTGCATTTAGCAGTTTTAAAATCATCTCTGGGAACTTCCTGCCTGATTACCAGGAAATATCGTGGACATTTTCTGTTTAAGCCCAAATAATGATAACTATTATAATGATAATTGCTCTGTCTATGATTAAGGTAGTGATATAAAATTCTAGAATGGTAATTAGGTCTGGGTTTTGAATAGTCTTTCTAAGTAGAACTCTATCAGCAGCTTCTTGATGATGAAGAAATACTAATGTCTTCCCTTACTCGAGAGCTTGCTATGTGTAGATTCCGCACATGCCTCTTTAACCAACCACATATTAGATGAGTATTGTTATCCCTAGAAAGAGGTGGGGATACTGATATTAAGAGAATTTAAGTGACTTTCACAATCAAATACCAATATGTGGAGGAGTCAATTTCAACACCAGCAGGTCCTCTTCACACTGCATGATGCTTCCACTCTAACGTAAAGAAGGTCAACAATAAAAAGCTAAAAGACAACATATGGCTTGTGGGTAAGAGGCTTTCAACAAGCACTGATGTTTCATTATAGTCATTGATAATTTGTGAAAACATAACCAGATCAGTAAAATGAACAAATGAATGACTTTTATCAATTTCTTACCTTTTGTGCTAGATTTTAGTGACATAATGACTAACACAGTTCCAGACATCAAAAGAGCTCCAAATTCAGTGTGAAAATCAGACACTTGTGCAAGATAGCATGAAACATTAAGTATAGTAAAAGAGTTCTAAACTCTTCACAGAGAAGAAAACAGTGGTTTCTGAATAATTCCACCTAGAAAGACACGACAAGGCCTTGAAGGATGAGCAGGCAAGTAGCAGATATAAAAGGGCAGGGTCTCTCCTAAACTAAAAGAAGGATAACAGGAAAAATAGAGGAGGAAAGTGTACATTGTATTTATTGAATACTAAATTCTTCTATTTGTGTAGTATGTGCAAAGGAAAATTACACCCAAGAGCTCAATTTAGTCACTTCACAACAGCTAACACATGGTGAGTCCTTTCTATGTTCCAGGAGCTCTTCCAGGTGGGCTGTGTGCATTGTTTCCTTTAATCCTCACAACTACCTCGTGAAGTAGGTACTGTTAGATGAGGAAACAGAGGCTTAAAGACAATAAACAACTTGTTCTAGTCTATCTAGTATGTTCCATAGCAGAACCACAGTTTAGGGCCAATAAGAGAATCTGCATTTTGTGAACATGTTCCTGCCCTTTGGGTGACCACTAGTTGAATAAATATGAATTTGATTGACCTATTTTGATTTATCTGAATATCACAGCTAATGGGAGGAATACTAAAATGGCTAGTGAGATTAATTCTTGAAAATTTAAGATCCCTGAGAACAGGGGATTTTGCAAACTGAAAGTGTAGTAAGGGGAAGGGTTTCCTGTGAGTCAAAAAGAAGAGTCGTTTTAAGTGACATGTTTCCCTTTCTTGTGTAAACACCCACAGCACATGATGAAAGTAGCATATTGATGAAGGTTTGTCAAAGATTCACTACTTAGGATTTCCTGACTTCCGTTTCAGAACATGCCGGAGTCTTTCATTGACTCATGCTTTTGAATATGCTCTTCTTGCTGGCTAAATTCTGATCCTATTTATGCATTTGTAACTCTCAGATATCAGACCATTTTATACATTTACATGGTCATGTTTAATCACTCCTTTCTTAGAGTTATGTGGTTATTTTTCTATGGATAAATTTTTCTCTGCTCCACCTTGCCTATGAACCCTACAAGGTCAGAATTGAAATCTTGCAAGCTTCCCCCATCTAAGTACCAACTGGTATCTGGTATGGAATAAAATCAATGAATTAGTTTGAGTGCAAGTAATATTTATCATGAAGGCTTGCTAGAAAAAATGCCACCACTTTTAATACCCAGCTCATTTTTAGATATGTATTTTTATATATGTCAAATCTTCTATCACACTTGGGTTTTTCTAAGAGGTTTTATTGATTTATTTATTCTTTCTACATACATATGTTTAATAACTGCCTTTGAACAAGGCATTGTATTAGGCACTATGGATAGCTTACATCGTAATGGAAGAAAAAGACCTTAAACATCTACTTACCTAATGACTCATTTAGAAATGTACCCATCTCTAGGGGTCAATAAAGTGACATTTCAGAGGATATCAGTATGTGAGAAAGACTCATTATTTGATAAAGGACTATAGATTTTGGGCATATTGTTAGAATAATGAAAGTCTTAATAAATTTTAAATAGACCACAGTCAAATCAAAGTTTTCAAAAGATTACTACTGTTCCTGTAGCATGGAGAAAGTTTTCTAGCAGTTGCAAAGCATATTGAGGGAAGCCAGTGAAAACACTATTATACATGTCCAGGGAAGAGATGAAGTCAGTTTGGATTGTAGTGGTAGGGGCAGGAAAGGAGGAAGAAAGCCCTAAAGATTTTGATATTATTTTGAAAAGAAATTTATGGAACTTGAAAAATAATTTTTATATTAGTGAGGTAGAAAGAGATAGTAGGGATGGATGCCTTTAAGCTGTCTGAGTCATGAAAATAGTGAAAGGTGCTGTAATCCACTGAGATAGTAACACTAGGAGCAAGGCTAGACACAGAGGGAATCTCATGGTTGTATTTGTTACAGAGTAAAATGCAGTGATATGAGACACCAGGGTGGATATGTCTCTGGGGCAGTTGAATTGCCTAGAAACTCACAAGAGAGTCTGGCCTGCAGACACTAATGTAAGAGACATCAGCATATAAATTATTATCTCTGCTAGTTTCACAGTTCTATGTAGTAGTTATTTCTATTCTATTTTATAGTTAAGTGAATTGAGAACAAAAAGCAAAGTGACTAATTTTAATCACAATGCTAGTAAGTGGCAAACATTATACCCCAGACTAGGTCTTTATTGCTCCACAAAAGAGAGGATTGTCTTTAGTCCCCACATGTCTTGGACACATATGTTCCACCTCACTGTTCCTTCCCTAGTGTCCAAATAGGCACTCTTTACCGAAAGGCAACCAAAACCATTGGAGAGTAAAGGGAGAGGAAACTCAACGAGTCACAGTAGGGGCTTAACAGTATTTATTATTTATTTCTAGTTAAATTTTTAAATCAAATAAAGGAAATCATATTTATTATGTAACCTGTATGTACTATGTATTTTACTAGACATTTTAAATGTACTATATAGTAAAGTGACTAGTAGCAACATCAGCTAGGCATTTATAGTTCCATTTTCAAATAATTTTAAATATATTAAAAATAACACCTGTTATGTTTGATTTTAAAAGGTTTCACATTTTAAATTTTTTCTTTTGTTTTAGCTTTGTTTTATTTCATCATTTAGAGTTCAATTACTATAAACTCAAAGTTATAAATCTTTTTAGTAATTAACCTGGTGTTTATAATTTGCAAGTCATTGTCCCTTCCTGATGAAAAGAAACACTAACTGATTAAATTCCAGTATTGTTCAAATAATGCTTAATATGCTCTAAGGTCTTTTAGAGGATCTTAGTGACCCTTGGCAAAAGAACAGTGCCAAGGAAAAAGAAAAGGTAGCAAGAGAAATGAACAGGGTTTTGACTCTCTAGCCCATGTAAACCACAGAAGCTCCACTTTTATCTTCTTTAAGTGAATACTAGGATTTAATATAAAATTTGTTTTTAACAAATTCTCCTGATTAAAAAAACAACATCCTTCCTTTAATTGTTTTGAACATTACTGAGTTTATGGTTAACAGTGAGACCCTCATTTTAAATTTTATTTCATGTTGCTACCCATTCTTTCTAAGATAATTTATTAAACAAATATTCCTTTTCTTCTTGGTTTGTAGATCTCATTTTTATTATATATAAGATTTGAAGATAATTGTACTTTCTGAATATCTTTATACTTCTCTATCTTTACTGTAGTAAACATATAATTATTTTTTAAATAATTAGGACTTTTTGAAATGCAAATGGCAGAAACTCCATAGGAATGAGATTAAATAAAAATGGAATTTATTGGTTTATAAAGTTCAAGAAGCAGGATGAGCATTCTAACTGTGGGAAAGGCAGAAATTCAGCTGATACCGAGGGACAGCAAGAACCAGGGAATGAAGCACCCTAAACACTGTCTCTCTCATTCTCTGAATCTTGTTATTCTCTGACCCTTGTCTCCACTTTTCAGAGTGTATTGATTTGATCCTGTCTTCCACATGTTGAGAAGGCTGTCATCAGCTCCTGAGCCACGTGACACTCAATTACAGCACAGTGAATTCCAATTGGCCCTTCTAAAGTCAATGGTCCAGTGTATTGACTATAGCCAAGGAAAAGGATCATAAAGAAAGGTCATAGTTTCTGCATCAGCAAGGGTGGAAAAGAAGGGATAGAGAGAAGATCTAGGTTCAAATATCCAGGGCTTAATTAAGTTAACGTATTAGTCAGGTAACAGTCTCAGTATGCTGTCCAGTATCAGCTTCATAACTTCAGGGACCAGAGCTTCTCCTTTCTTATAGTTCCACTAGACATAGAGTTTTACCTGGACTACATGGTCCACGATGGCTCACAAAGACACTAACGACATTCCAGCTAAGTGAAAAGGAGAAGGTGCACCATTTCTTTTTAAGGGAATTGCCCAGAAGTTGCATATATTACTTTTGCTCAAGACTTGAGTCACATAGCCATAATTTTCTGCAAGGTTAAGCTCAATATGTACTCTCATCTTTCCATTGTATTACAGAATGGATACAGGGTGTTAGGGTATTTTATAAATAGTGATGAGCCCTGGCTGGTGTGGCTCAGTGGACTGAGTGCCAGCCTGCAAACCAGGAGTTCGCTGGTTCAATTCCCAGTAGGGGCACAGGCCTGGGTTGTGGGCTAGGTTCCTGGTTTGGGGGTGGTGTGAGAGGCAACCACACATTGATGTTCCTCTCCCTCTCTTTCTTCCTCCCTTCATCACTGTCTAAAAATAAAATAAATAGAATCTTTAAAAATATATTTTTAAAAATAGTGATGAGTACATTAAAATCAAGCAAGAAGATACAATAAATTATTGATATCAAGGAGAAATAATGTAAAAATGAAATGTAATCATAGCATAATATTTGGTTCAACTGTGAATAATATCTAAATATTAAAAATAATAAAAATCTTAGATGGTGATTTGACCCTAAATCATGGTATTATTATACTGGAAAGCTCAAAGAAAGGAGAGTTGTAAGAGAACCAAAATCATTATTTATATTTGAGGAATTCCAGACATAAATTTGGTAATTAAGAGATAGTAATATTTGCCTGTTATTTAGAAATATGAAAGCAAAAACCAGAATAAATACCTAAAAGTTTTACAGTAGCTGTCTGGGGGGCAAGCGCTGTAAAATTTACTGATTAGATTTTATCTATAAACTTCAAAATATGCCAACAAGGTGGTATTGTTGTTTTCCTATTTTCCTGATGAAGAAACTGAGGTGTAGGAGGTATTAGGTGTAACTTCCCTAAGCTCTTACAGCTGGTAAGTAGCAGAGCTGACATTCAAACCCAAGTATCTGACTCTAAGGTACTAGGCAAGTATGATGATGATGACTTCGATGATGATGATGATGATGATGACAACAATAGTAAAACCATTAGGATGTCTTTCTATTTCAGATCCGGACTTTTTTCAAGATTACATTAAGCCCTACTTAGAACAAGCAAGTCGGATCTGGCCATGGCTCGTTGGGGCAGCTATAGTGGGATCTGTCCTCACTGCTGTACTGGTGGGGCTCACTAGGCTGATATGTCGTCGAAAGAAAAAGCAAGTCTCTGAAGAACAGCAGCCACTCCTCATGGAAAAGGAGGATTACCACAGCTTGTTGTATCAGAGCAATTTATAAAAGGCTTAGACAATAGAGTAGGGCCCAAATGCCTGACCTCTGTATCAAATGATGTTCAAGTCCCTGGGGATGTCCCAACAGAAATCCCTCCTATTTGTCTGTGAAGACCAATAACAGAATGGTGATCTTATACAAAGTATACCCCTCTTATATCTCAGGTAGAACACACCTGTGCTTGCCTTGCTGTTTTTTGATTATCCCTTTGACAGGTTTCCTCAGGCCCATATTTCCCAGGAAAGAATGTCATTTGGTAATTAACAACTGCTACTTGTATCTGAATAAATGTGTTCTTATAAAATATGAGAACCATGTAACTTCTTTTTTTTCATTGTTTAATGATGTATTTCTTTTTTATTGTCTTTCTTTGATTTTAATAATATAGTAACAAATTTATATTAACAACTGAGTACTTTGAGCTTGAGAAATACATTTTTATTTTCCTCAGAAAGCATGTTCCCGTACAGTTTACATTCCTGCTCCAAAATGTGTTATAAACATCACATATAAAACATCCTTCAGCTCTCTCCTGCCATAGCTCTGACTATGCTTTTGAAGGTGCTTCACTGAAAACAAGGGCTCTGTTCTTACAACAAATCTGGCTAAGTGCCTGTCTCAGGATGTGCTCATCAAATATGTTGACAATGTGGTAGGCAGCTAGTCATGAGCAGAGTAGAAACAATAGGCCTGGTACAGAAGGTCACCAGGGAAGAAAGTCCCAGGTACCTAGCAATGGGCAAAACTGAGGAAACAAGGACCTCACCCCCAGGGTGCCCTTTCTTCCCCTGGCATGTTTCTGGTCATGCAGTTTATACCCCCTGACCTTTCATATTGCTGGTCATGCAGTTTGGACTCTCCCCTGACCTATCCTACACTAGCATGTTGCTAGTCATGTGGAATATCCCCTTCAGAGGAACAAGGGGGCCAAGGAATAGCCTCATATGACTCCCATACAAGCCCTTTGAGAACCATTCCCTTAAGCAATAAGCCATGAGGTCAACAGTGAGGTTCTGACCCACATCAAATAATCTTAGGAATGAACAAAGCCTTGTGTTTGTTGACCACAGAAACACAGTTCTGGACAAACTAGAGATAACATCATGTGTTTCAGCTCCAGGCTCAGAAAAGCAGCAAAACCAGATGGAGCGATGCTATAGCTGAAATCAGCACCAGCTTTGATGACTAAGGCCCCTTTAGCCTAGTCCTGACCAATCAGTAGAGACTACAATCCTGAAAGGACCCACCTGAAAAACTGATGAATATTCCATTGAAACCCTCCCCTGGGACCTCTGTTAAGATCCCTGTCTTTAGAGAGAAAATAAAAACCCTCAGAAGGAGGACCCAATTGGCATTCTTGTTGTCTCTTGAACACTTCCAAAACTTCCCACAACCCCTTCTTTCACAGGCATGCTCTCTCTCTCTGGAGCATGACCACACTCTTCCAAGGGCTTACCTTTACTCTCTTTTTCTTAAGCTTCAAGCTTCTTTTGCCTCTGTGACTTGTTTCCTGAGCCCACACAGCCCAGCTGGCTCAATTCTTCTACCTCTGTGACTTTCTAAATAAACTTTTGCTTTTATTTGAGTCTTGGCTCTGAATTTTTTCTTAGCCAACATTCAAGTACTGAGGTTGCTGGACTGAAGTGCAATAATATTCTGGTGCTGTTTTGCCACTAATGACAGCAAAAATAATCCTATTAAGAGCTTTTTTTTAACCTCTTTAGAAGAACTTTATTTTATTTGAGAATGTTTAAAATGCCACAAAACATTTGAAGTTTGAGAATAATTATGTAAATATCAGCCTGTCTGCAATTTTAGTTAAATTACATTTCTATTTTACTTGGCTATTAAGATCTTACATTAAGATGTCTAGATTAATCCTGCTCCTTGAATTCAACTGGGTCCAGTTGAATTTCTAAAAATAACTCAATTGATATTACACTTGTATTATAGCTATATAAGAGCATAAAAGACTAGAACCAATGGGTAGAGGTTAAGGGGTCCAATAAAAGGAAAAACTATACAATACTCAGAGCTTTCCAAAACCAAAATCAACATCCTTATAAAATAATAAGCGATTGCCACTGTAATTTTTCAAATATAGTCTGGATGGCTAATTCAATTTGAATTCTATAAAGAGAATTTTAATATTGAGTCTATCGAAATGTTTAGGGTTTTTTTGCTTTTATGTTTTTATTAAATGTATTGGGGTGACATTGGTTAATAAAATTATATAAGTTTCAAGTGTACAATTAATTCTATGCTACATTTAAATTGGCTTAAGGTTCTTAACTAACCATTCAGGAACAAGGCCAAGCATGCTCTTTAAAAAATCCCTGTGATCCCACCCCAGTATTTCAGGGTGCTGTCACTAGGTCCCAAACTCCACCCTCTCATGCAAACTCATTCACTCTGTCTTGGCATCTTCAGTCTTTTATGTGCCTTATACCTAGTTTGTATTTCTCTGTTCAGCATTTTCTTTCTTTCCTTTTTTCTCCTTCAGTTTGACTACTTGACTTACTTTTCAGAGTCATCTCTGAACAATGTCTCCTCATTGTCGATGCCAGGCTTTAAAGACAGAATTATTCAATTGAGGCTCCCAGAAACCTGCCTGGGTCTGGCACCTGAAGCTCTACATCTCTGGGAGTATATATAAGATGAAACACACTGACCTGTATATGATACTTTCAACTGAAGTTTTCTACAATCCCTGTAAACTCTGAAGCATAGTGTTCAGATTATTTGTAAATGCATTTAAAAAAGAATTTACTGAAGAGATCAGCTCTTGAAAATGCCTTTATCTGGAAAAGACTGGCCTAAAATATACATGTCATTACATTAAATGGTTACATTTCACTGAGTCCCAGTTCAGATTTCAAAGAAAAGCAAAAATCATCCTATTACACACATATGATTTTGGCTAATTCTCATCTAGAGTAAATAGAAATTTATAAATATTGGTAAAGCAATGTCACAGACTCTTAGAAGTTACTAGTAATTAATAAACAGGTATAGAGCAATAGTCTTCTAACTCTAGTTAGTTGTCAAACTTACCATTTGCTAGCTTGTCTAACTTCTGATTCCTAAGGGAGGGAATCAGACAAGGGATGAGGAGCAGCACACTTACTGATGGACACAGCAGGGGTCTGTGGGATTAGAGGGCAAATACTGGGAATTATATCCTCAACTTGGTGCATGACCAGAAAAAAAAAAAGATTTGAAATAAATTAGCAATGACATCTGAGGAGTGGGTTCACTATAGTTAGAAACTGGAAAAAAATAAAACCAAGAACCAAGAGTGGGAAAAGAGATCTGCCTCACAGTCTGCAGAAGATTCTGGGGAAGCAGTCACCATGACTGTGGTTGCCTTGAGTCTCATCTCAGGGCACAACTGCTTAGCTAGGTTTGGTCCTGGTGGAAATTTTAGTCCTGGTGGAATTCTTAATTCTTTTTTTTTAAACAAAGCATCTTGAATAAAATGCATGTAAGGAATTTTTACTGCCACTAACAGGGATCAGCATAAAGTCATTCTTTTTTACTGTCACTGATAGGGGTCTGCAAAAAGTCATTCTTTTCTGTATCACAAGGCAGTTCCCTCCTTTACCACTCACTGCCCTTCAACAGAGAATATTGTTTCGTTTCTCTGAGGGAGCAAGTTAACTACCTACGTAGCAGCAACATTTGTGATAAAACAGCCACCACAGTGATTCCATGGTTTTCTCCAAAAGGTAACAAAACATGACTGATATTTCAAGACACCTGGTAGTTTTATTAAATTCTAGTTAACATTATATTCTGTGGCATTGTTTTATAATATGGCTTTTATAAATAGATCCCTTTTCAGCTCTGCTCTTTTCCACTGCCACGTTATAAGTCACATTTTGTCTTATAGAATGAAATAAGCAGCTGCTGCATTTTTATTCTTTTTTGTGTGTTTTATATAAAAAGAGTATTTTTAGTAGCCAACCTTTCCAACAAGTCAAATATATCATTCTCCATCTGTACAAATAAATTATGTGATGGGTACAAGTCATTTTAGCCAGTGTCTCTAACAGGCTGACAATTGACATTGATTGTGAGAGCTTTAAAATAGCCTTTTCTGTGTTCATATGGGCTTGGATTTGTAGGAACATTTTTCTTTGTTACCATAAAAAGGGCTTCATTGGGGCCACCTATTGTGAGCCTGTGCTGTTTTGGAGGGCATGTCAGTAGAACAAAGTTCCACACCCCTTCTGATTAGACTCTTCTAATCAGAAGCTGCTGAAATACAAGTAAAAAGGTGTGTTTTTTCCCAACTTTGTGTTGTTTGTTTTCAAAAGCATTTGCTAGTTTGTACACCATAAAGAAGATTGTCTATGGCATCTGCTAGAGACCGACTTCCAAATCTTCCATCTATTTAAAATTTAAATGGAAATGATTCGAGCATCTTTTTAAAAAAAAATAAAAGCCTTATTAAAACTCAGTATAATTCATGTTTACCTAATTGTTTTGTCAGTTCCTTTCTTAATAGGAGTGTAAAAATTTTTCTTATAATTTCATGTTAATCTACAAATTCTTGCATGTTTCACAATCATAATCAAGCAGATTTCTAATTTTGTATTTAAAAATAAACAACAAAGATGTCATAATAAAGTGAGTATTTACGATGTTCCAAGAACCATACTAAGTACACACACACATATATAAACTTATTCAATCTTCATATTGTTGATATGAGAATATTATTTGTTTATTCAAAGGAGGAGACTGTGGCTTCCCTAGGACACACACCTTACCCAGGTTTATATGTCTGTTCAGTCGCTTTGGTAATTTAGGTAGAATTTGAATCCAGTTCCTCCTGATGGATTGCTATTATGAATTTCATTGTTGTTTGTATTCAATTATGTTGATGTGTCATAACTTATACCAGTTTATTGCTATTAGATATTTAGGTTTTATCAAGGTTTTAAATTACTTTTAGTGCTATAAGGAATATCTTGATACATTTAGCATCTGATTTCTCTCAAATTATTAATTATCCAATGGTATGATCTTTGGGTCAAAGCATATACATAATTTTATGGTTTTTCTAATGAATTGCCACAGTGCTTTTGAAAAGGATTGCACAGGTTTAAAAATGCAAAGAGGAGTCAAAAAATAGGAGATCAAAAGGAATAAAGAAAAAAATGAAAAGATGAAGAGTAGCAATTCTCTTCAAAAGAAGCTGAAGATCATAATTGGTACTTGAAATATTGCTTCCTTTCATAAATATATCTCTTTCAAATTATAACATCTATT